TCCATAATTCATCAAACTTTTGACACATGAAAATAGGCCCTGTGGTTTCCATTACTTTAAAAAAAGGAAATGTGATGCTTTAAGTTAATGTTAAAGTCTGTTTTTGAAATGACGAAGTGATAAATCAGAATTGCTACATATGTTTCAGACCAGGTCTGAAGGAATGAGATAATAACCCTGTCAAGCCAAGCATGATACACATGCACATAAACAAAAGACAACTGGTAATGTGTTTTAAATGACATGCCAGACTTTAGACTGAGGCGTGTGCTGCACACAGCAGGTGGTAAATGAGCAGCTCTACATTTTAATGAATTTTCCTTCTTTGACGTTACATCGAGAGACACTTTGAGGAGGTCAGCCTGTGAACCCTCGCAGAGCCAATCTTTTCTCCACTTTGTATGATTGCTTGTCGTCTCCCCTGCAATCATAAGGATGCCTTTCTAAGGTACCAAATATGTGATTCTCCACATTCCCAGAGAAGAATAAAGCTGATTTGATTGGACTATTTGCTCGGGCTGCTTGTGGTGGTGCAGTGTTTGTCAGGATAACTGCAGGTGCCTTGAATGACAGCAGTGCACTGTAGGTCATGTCATAAAATCTAGAAAGACCAGAGCAACCCAAGTCTTTGTGCGAAGCCATTCGAAGATAAAATGGGAGAATCAAATGTCATTACTGATAGTTTTGCTGTTTCTTTTTTCAAATAATAAAAAAAGAAATATCAGAGCATTTTGCTCAATGTATGTGATGATTTCCTAAAGTCTATGATGTCTTGATCGTGTTATCCAATTTAGCGAACAAAAACAAAACAAATTCAGTTCACTATCTTGTGACAAAAACGAGAATCCTCAAATTTGAGAAGCAGTTAAGGATTGGCATGTTTGCTTGAAAAGTGACTCACTAGCAGAAGCTCATTGTTTGGGTTTTATTCTGTTCTTTAATTTATGTTGGTTGACATCATTCCTCAGTGCATCATTGCTGTTTCTTTGTTGTTGTTCTCCTGGTTAGGCAGACAATGACAGCACTCAGCGTTTTGCCAAAGTGTCCTCAGGAAGTGAGCAGCCAAACCACACAGTGTGTCTCTGTAAGCCAATGTTCCCTTCTGTCTTCCTGTCCCAGGCTGTCCCTGCTGGAAGAGTGGCGCGGCATTCGTGATGAAGCCCTGTCGAAGCTCAGTGGGATCGAGGGCTGCGTCTTCGTCCACGCTGGAGGCTTTATTGGCGGGAACAAGAGCCAGGAAGGAGCCCTGGAGATGGCCCGCAGGACCCTGCAGGCCGCCGCCAAGTCCCCTGCTAATGGAAGCAGCTGACGGGTCAGAGAGGAGAGCCAGCAGCACATTTTGTTCTCGGGGTCAGTCTTTAGAGAGGATAGCAAGGATTACAATGTTAGTTTGCTGTCTTGAATCTTGTTCGACCCAGCCTTAGCTAATGTTGTTTTGTTTTGCCACGATGAAGAGGGTATGGAAATGTCAGCCAAATAAAGTTGGATCAGTTCCCTAAATACCTTTAATTGTTACACAGGCTCGCTCTGAATCATAATCTAAAATAACGGTATTATTCTTGTCTTGGTTCTTATAAATGTGAGTCTGTTTTGATTTAAATTCTACAATTAAAGACTCTTTGGATTACATTCTGGTATTAGTTAACAGTTTGGGTAAATCAAACAATAAAGCACTTGTTTTTTCCAGTTCTGCTCACATCTCACTTCTTTTCGAGGCAGGCAGTCTGGTGGACCACTAAGCATCCTCAAAGCCTGTGATACCACGACCTTACCTTTTTTAAGGGTCGATTTATAAAGACAGTGGTCCCCCCTTTCATTTCCAGCAGGCTGACATTAACTGTAGCACAACAAAGAGATACAGCGGCTTCTTCCGCTGGCTGCAAGATCAAAGCGCCAATAATGAGGTTCGATTAAATCTGAGAAATGAAATGTACAAAGGCCATTAGGAGGTGCTTCTTGGGGCAGCCGGAGTCTCGACAAGTTTACCGGCACTGTGAGGCAGTGCAGTCGATTTCCCTGTAATAAAGTCAGCAGATGAACCTTGAATTTTCTCATGAATACTCCAGATGTTCCCCCTGCTTATCTCTACCTGTTACTCATACCTTATTGCATTCTCCACAAGGCTGCCCTTCTGCTGCCCAATAGAAATTATTGCTCTATAATTTCATAATTTTATGCTGTGCATTTTATTTCCATCAGCGTTATGCAAATGCCACAGCAGTGGAAAAGTAGTTCATGTTGTGACATTCGTTTTTTTGTATTCAGTGGTGCCGACTGTTAATTCTTTATCTTTGTAAATCTTAATTGAAAATAACCTTTATGCTCAGTCAATCCTGCTATAAATACACAATGTTGACATTTACACAGATAACACATGCAGTGCATTGACTATTTTTAATAGCTTTGGAAAGGTCTTGATCTTGTAAACACACACACACACACACACACACACACACACACACACACACACTTACTTTAGTGTTATTACTCTGCTCTCTATTGTGCTGGACCTGAACCAAGGTCTCAATCCAATCCATACACATTTGTGACAGCGTTTTGCAGTCACATGGTTTGTATTGTAATCCCTGCCCACCAGTGAGTTTATTTTATTTATTTATTCATATATTTATTTGACAGGGACAGTGCACATTGATTGACATTTCTGTAAATGCGCCAGAGTTAGCCAACAGGCTATTTTTCGTCTGTAGTCCCTGGACAGATGTTGAAAGTCATCCTAAAAACAAAAATTCACTTCAAATAACAGGTAAATACAATCAGTAAAACAACATTCAACAGAGATGCTTATATTGTGATAAAAGCATATATAAAATAAAAACATAAAAACTAAACTAAAATATATATTCAAACAGCAGACAGATAGCAACAGGTCAAGTGTTGTTTTTGGGGAGAGAAAGAAGATAACCCTTTTTCCCAGCTTGCACCTTAAAGAAAGCAAAGGTGTATTCACTGCAGCAGTGTAATTGCAGACACTTTGAGAGAAACATCAGATAGAAAGGAGGACAAAAAACAGCTTGTATCTTAATATGTATTGATTTGAGTTTCCACCAATTTTACCCACAATCTCAGGCTTATTCGTGCAACTTGCCGGATAACTGTGCACAGGAAATCACTAAATCATCCTATTGATTAAATACTTTTCCTGCATTTGGTGCTCATTTTTGTTAGTTTCCGCCTATGCTCTGTTTTTCTCTTCCAGCACTGAACAGGCTTGCCAGCACTAACTCCTTTCCTGTCAGCTAAATTACTTACAAAGCAACATTTTTTAAATACTTTGTTTTGTCAGCAGGGATGGTTGCTGTGTTGTGGTTTCTTACTACTCAGCAACAGACCGAACCTTTGTGTTGGTCCTCGGTCGTAAGCAGTTTCAGGCGACTAGCGCCGGCAACTCCCAGTCGGCCACGCAGTGGAAAAATGGCTCCCGATAGCCTCAGCAGAACACCTGCCCCCAGCCTGACCTGTTGTTAGTGGATCTAATCCAGAGAGAATGACAGGATAGTTACAAGAAATGCTCCACTGCTTTTTATCTCTCTTTCGTACTCCATCAGGCATGCAGCCAGGACACAGTCTGTGGTGGTTGTCTTCTTTTCTCGTCATGACACAAATAATAGACATCTTAACCATGCCTGCACTCTGTGTCTTGGAAGAGCGGATTTCTGCAACTAGCTGTCAGATATTTTCCACGGCCTCGATCTGTTTACACATTTGTGTTAGGGTGATTCAGTTTTCCCCTCGGAGGACTGCGGCCAAACCAAACAGATGATGCCAAACTGCTTCACTTCACTGAAGTCAAGTTTTCCAGAGTTCACATTGTCAACATATCAATCAGAAAACTGCTCCTGGGCCTGTCCATCTTTTAGAGCTGCTTCCTCCCAGAACACCCACAACAGATAACCAACAGCCTTAATAAATATTGGACACATTTCTGTTTTTCTTTAGCTTTCATCATGCCATTCATTCTGAGCTTAGAGACTTGAAAACAGATGTTTGTTGTTGAGTGGTTCTCTCTGTCATCATGTGCTTTCCCATTACACTCCCCTTTGTTTTGTATCTGAGTAACCACAAAACTCATCTTGTCCGCATGTGATGTTTCTGGCAAGCTAGGAGACAATCACCCATCAAGAGCAAAACATTTACTAATTATACTTGCAGCAGTGCTTATTGTATTTGTCAGGAGGGGAAATGTCCTTGTTTTGAGCAGGTTTTGAAAAGGAGTAGGACATGTGGAGGCAGACGAGGGATACAAGGGGCAATCATGGCTGTCCAACCATCCTTTCCCCTGAGGGCTCTTATCCACAGATATCTCTTGGCCTATAGTAGAAAAGGGACAGCAGGGCATTTGTCCTATGAGTAAACCACTATGAATAACATTTTCTCTTACTACAATATGTGTCGCTTCTGTGTGTGTCTGTAGGCACATTCTTGTTATTTATATGTAAATGATGAGCCCTGTAAGCGTTTGTGGCTGTCAATGTTCCCAACCTTGCATGTGTTTTTATATGCATGTGGCGTTACCTACGTCTTCATGCCACTCTTCATTTTTCATGTGACATTCAGTATATCACTGTAGTGAGCAGTCTTTGCACAGTGATAAAATAGGTCTATTTCTGTGACCTCTATTACTAATCCTGGAAAAATAACATCAGGAATTGAAGGAGGAGCACCTTCCCTTAAATCTTGTTTTCAGTTGTTTTACTGTGAGACTGCAAATGAAATATAATATTCTCCTAAACAGTCTGACACCTACACTATTGCATCTTTACCTTTCTTACTTCAGGTTAAAACAACTGAGGATACTGTACAGTGTCTGTATATTCACTACCTGCCTGGGATCCAATCACATTGCAGGAAGATATAATTGTCAGAATCTAAGTTAATATCTCATGTGGAGGTTTATAACCCATCTGTTCTTAGAAATCCGAGAGCCTAATAATAGGGACTTACACACCTCACATGTTTGACTCAAGTCTGTATCTCACACACACACACACACACACACACACACACACACACACACACACACACACACACAGAGAGAAAGAGAGAATGAGGATGCCCCACATCTTTGTTGCTATAACTACCCAGTGTTACGACAGGCAGAGATGAAGCCGTCTGCAGGCGACACACCGCGGATCCACTACTCCTCCTGCCCGCGTAGTTTTTCCCCAACATTAAACTACAATTGATGAGAAGATGATGAGCATTCTGAGGTCGGGAGAATCTGGAAAAAAAAAAACTATAAACGGAGTCTAAAAAACGTTGTATGGATCTAAAGTTACACAAGGAACTATTTTAACGGTAAGTTTTCTTTTTTAAATATCTATGTCGGCATATACAGTCAGTAACTATCCCTAATAGTGTGACATTATGCTGCGCTTGTAGGCTATAGTCGTTTATTTCGCTTTTTAATTTGCAAAAACTGTCAAAAAGCAACCAGATGAGGGAAACAGAAAGAAGGCTTTCTTTACACCCGTTACTTATTTTGTATGATTAAAAAGTTGCAAATGATCGAAGCACGTTTTCTTGCATGTACGTTTAACAATGTGTTATAAGGGTGACATTAGCTTTCCATTTACCAGGTGACCTATTTAACCATAATGATTTAATTGGCTATAGCCTCAATTATATTTCTCACCGGAAATCAGACTTTAGTGTATATAGTCTTTTAAGTCAAGGCTGCAAGTCTCAGTTTTTTTCTAATCTGAATGATGTCCTTTACATTGAATAGCCAAAAGGGCAATATCGTAATAACTGGATTGTGCAATCAACAGCACGTGCCTTCTGAATTTGCTTTGGGAGTCCCTCTCCAATCGTTGTCTTTCAGCCTTTCTCATTCACATTCAAATTATGCTGCGATGATTATTTTTTGTAATTAGGGATTTGCATGCATCTGCATTCAGCATGTTAATCGCAAAGCTGCTGAACTAAATATTCACCTCTGCTCTTAACAAACACTAATCACACGGCTATCAGTCACACACTATAAGATATCAACCAAATCTATGGGCCACTATGCTCTCTATTCAGGAGAATAGAGACACATGAAGGTTAACCATTGTAAAAACAAGGAGGCAGAAGTAAGTGCTTGACATTTGAGAGGATGGTCTCATAATCAAATTCAAGGAGTGTGTCATGTTTTTGTCTTGGAACAATAACAATTAAACAGCTGTGCTTGTCTGGACTAGAATAAAATGAAACAATTTCTGGATTACTCATATAGATACCAATAAAAAAGCCAAACACACATCTCACATGCAGACCTAATGTAGCTTATTCTCCAGAGGTTTTTCCAACTGAGTCTAGCCAGACCGCTTTTTCTTTGTTGTTGAAACTTTGATAACTGACCAGATGCTCACCAGACCACTGCTGTATTTCTTTCCATGCAGCTTTGTCATTTATTGAATCTGTGGGACACAGGCAGGACTGATGTTTTGCTGTTAATAGTGTAGCAGGCATCTTGGACTATCGATCCCACCTCCGTTCTCTCCTCCATCTCTATAATGCACTCTATCCCCCCATTCATGGCAAAAATGATTACAGGGCTATGGCACCATGGGAAAATAAATTGAGGAATAAACAAGATGAATGTGTATTGATGAGTGTAATGTGAGGCTTTGGTTTATAATTGGAGACACACAAAAGACAGCATGAAAAAGGACTTCAGATAATCTTTTGTGTTGATTTATGTCCCTTTAATGTAGAAATACAAGTGCTTGACTTATCATCACTGCTGTGAATAACACGTTTTTTATGAATGTTTTGGTATCTTTCTGGTCCCTCCACGCAGGAGTGAATTTATAAACCAGCTTAAGCTATTTTTGCTGTCTATCTCTTTACCCACTGACCTTTTTTCTCAACATCATAATGTCCACTGTCAGTGTTCATACTGATTGTATGTGTTAGTAAAGAGACACACAGAGGGAGAGAGAGCGAGAGTCATCTTTTCCAAAATGACCCTTTTTTTCTCAACCTGTCAGATCCTCCTGGCGCGCCTGTGTGTGACCAGGCCCTGGAGTGTGTCGGGGGGCTATGGTGAGGCGATGTGCACAGGCTGGGGTGAGGAGACATGTACCAGCATCAGTGGAGGAAGACGAGGTAGAGGAGTGGTTCTTCATCCGTGGCTGTGCGTCTCTCTCCTGTTCTCGGCTCTCTGGGGCCAAGCGTCCCCCCAGTGTCCGGCCAGCTGCCAGTGCGCCTGGGACACGGCCACGGTGCAGTGCTCAGACGCCGGGCTGCGGGACATCCCAGAGGGCATCCCACCGGAAACTGTCTCCCTCCACCTGGAACGCAACTACATCCGGAGCATCCCAGAGACCGCCTTCAGGGACCTGCTCCACCTGCGGGACCTGCACCTGTCCCACAACCGAATCGACTCGCTGGCCTCAGGGGCCCTGCGGCACCTGGGCCCCGAGCTGCGCCTGCTGGACCTCTCTCACAACCAGCTGAGGCAGGCCAGCAGGGAGGAGTTTGGCTCCACCCGGGCAAAAACGCGCCTCTTCCACAACCCCTGGCACTGTGACTGCACCCTCCAGGAGCTGATGGAGACCCTGAACCTGGAGGCCGAGACGGTCAACGGCATCATGTGTGAGAGCTCTGTGCGGGGGATGGGTGAGGGAAGCAGGTGGGAGGACCCGGGGTCCCAGGGCGAGCATGCAGGTCAATCCCTGGTCAAACTGTTGGATTCTGGGGTGAATTTCTGCAGTCTGCAGAGGAAAACCACTGATGTAGCCATGCTGGTGACAATGTTCGTTTGGTTCTTCATGGTCATCGTGTATGTAGTGTACTATGTGAGGCAGAACCAAGCTGAAGCCCGTAGGCATTTAGAGTACCTGAAGAGTTTGCCCAGTCCACGCAAGACCCCCACAGTAGGGGTTTCACCAACTAATCGACTAGTCGACTAGTCGACTACCTTTACCACTAGTCGGCGCTGTAGGCCCTAGTCGACTAGTCGTGAAAAAAATGGAGGTAAACGAGGTGCTGCAAAATGCTACAAAACACGTCCGACATTCTTATGTATGGCAGTACTTCAACGAAGATGTAACCAACTCCAGAGTGAAGTGTCAGTTGTGTACAGCTGTACTGAAGTACAATACAAATGCATCTGCTATGCGCAACCATCTAAAGATGAAACACCCGCTGCCGACAGCTAGCACTAGCATTAATGCTAGCACCAGTGAGCAACGGACCGGCGTCAGCACTGAACTGAGGCAAACGAACAGCAAGAAAACACGGGTCAACAGTGATGCGGATGATGAGCTACGGGATTACTGCCAGCGGACACCGCATATCCCCACAATGGATAATCCACTGGAGTGGTGGGCAGAAAACGTGCACCGCTTCCCCCGCTTTCGAGGAGCTACCTGGCTATTCCAGCCACAAGCACCCCGAGTGAGAGGGTTTTTTCCCTGGCAGGCAACACTGTCACCCGAAAGCGGTCAAGCCTCCTTCCCTCACATGTCGATGCGTTNTCTTTATTATGACGTAACGAACTAGTCGACTAGTCGACTACTATTTTGAAAAACTAGTCGACTAGTAAATATTGGTAGTTGTGAAACCCCTACCCCACAGAGACAGATACTCTTAGCACTGGTTTCTGAACTCATGCTCACTACTCTGATTTAAATGGAATAATATGAACATGGCATTCTTATGGAGAGCAACGGATAAGCTTCAAAATGCTGTGTGCGATTGTAATATTTATTTATATGTGTTACAACTGAGCCCTCCTACTATGCTTCTGGATATGTCTTTACCTGTTGCATTTGTATCAATTAAATGAAAATATTTGCAATTTTGACTAACATGGGCAATGAGAGAAATAAGTAGCAAAAGGATGAAAAAAGACTAGAAAAAAAGAAGATTCTTTGAACTTCATAACCTTTTCTCTCCCTCTGTACTCCTTCTTTCCATCTCCTTTCTTCTCCCAACATGGCATGTGGTCTTTTATCTTTCATTAGGCTGTAATTAGCATTCTTTGACCAACTGACCCTTAATGAACACTTGAAAGCCACTAATCAGCAGGAGTGTGTTTATCAGGTGGAAAAGGAGAGACATGCAAACTTAAATGTGTGTCCTCATCTAATTGCCTGTTTCATTTGTGCGCTTTTGTTCTCATGTGGAGTTTTGTGCATTGTAACGGGTCATTTAAAAAAAGTTATTTTTGCAAGGATGCTATTTAAGCCTTTCCCAATAGATGTCACGATGAAGCCAGTGGTTTCTGTGCCAGTGGATAACTGCTGATCTAAATGTACTCTCAGTAAGCCATTAGAGCTGAGGGTGCACTGTTTGGTCTCCCGAGCTGCAGCCATCGGCTCTAAAATATCTAGCCAGCTACTGTAACACAGCTTGCCACTGATCGGTACAAAGACATTTCAGCCCGATTTGGAAATAGATAATTGTCATAAATTAGATTAGTGAGGCAGTTTGTCCTGCGAGAAGCCCTTAGTTTTGCTTTAATTAATCTCTTGAGTACTGCTTTTCAGTCCCTCTCTACACTGATTGTTGTTTACAAATCATTCAGGCTCCTATTTTCCACAAAGGCTTCATCATAATTGATTATTTTTCAAGCCACAGAAAAACAAAAACAAAACCCTTTAATAATAAATGGAATAACCTTCTCAGTTTACATGTAACACCTGCAATATTAAAATGTATGCAATTCCTGATGTGTAAGTGTTGTTTTGTAAATATATGATAAGCAGTCTTTTTCAACACAAATAGAGTCAAATGACTCTTAGTCTGGACCAAAAGAGCCCCCAAAAGAATTCCAGGGTCAATTCTGAGGGGTTGCAACATTATTAGCAGGATATTAAAGGAGAAAAAAAGGTATTTCTAACCCACACACTATGTACACATTTTTTCCGAAATTGTTCAAATCTATGACTAAGTAAAGGTTTTTCTACTTGATTTGCTATTTACTAAGTTATATCAAAACAAGGGATACGTGCCTAAGTAAAGCATCACATAATTATCAATTATTTGTCTTTGATCATTCACGGATTAAAGTGTAGTTACAACCTTTTAAGTGTTTATAGATGTAATAAAGATAACTGTGCCCCATATTATCTAACAGTTGGGATAGGAGCTGAGGCTAAACCTTAGTATAAGACAACTTCCTGTGTACTGTAACGTGCTAAATGTGGTGTGTGTGCTTTGTAACTAGCAGAGAAAGACTGGAAGAAGTTAATGTTGTTGATTACTTGATACTGTGAATTAGATCTAGTATCAGTTTAACTTTGAGTACAAGGTTGATGTGTGTCGATTTGTTCAGTGTGGATAAACTTCTGAAGCGCTGTTAATGTAACTTTACGCTCTCAGAACATCTCCTGAGTGCTTTGTGTCTGTCACAAATGCTACATCTACTGTTCATACTGTATGTCAGATGTCACTTTGCCCAAATGCAATCCTTATTTTTCTAAGCTCATAAATAGTACAATGATACTAATAACCCCAAACTCAAGAACCAAGCATGTCAACGTGCATATTTTTTCTGTATTGTGTTTTATTTATTGCCAATGTTTTTCTGTCCCAGTGAATGTTCACTCCTGTTTGTTTTTATCTTGTAAAGTTAGAGATTGACAACCATTACATTGCATAATAAATCATCTATCAAAAAGTGATTTTAGGAAGAAACAACAAAAGATATATAAACAATAAAAGAAACGTTGCTCCACTTTGTTCACAGGAATGCTTCTACCTTTTATTTCTACAGTAGGTTGAACAAAAGGCAAGAGGATGAAGAAAAGTACAGAAAGACATGATCAATTCACAGAATGATGGGTTGCAGTGTTTCCTATTTCTACTCTACCATGTGTGACAAGTCATTGAAAGACTATTTTACATTGAGACATGATGTGAACTTTCACCACTTCCACCTTTTTCACAAATCAGTCAACAAAATCACTGCGTTCACTCCTTTTCTTGAGATCTGAGGTGTTTCTCCCCCTGGAGGTTTATCAGGGCATCACCACAACAACACGCAGTGGCAGCAGGTCACTTTGAAATGTTTAAGGAGTTTTCTTGGAAAGAGTCAAAACGCTGCCCCCGATATTTCAAGGAGGGGGAGAACAGAACATGATATTAATAAAAAGCAACTTCAGCCTGTTACTTGGTTTTGTTTTTTATTTCCAATTTACATTAATTAAAACGTAACAAAAACAAATCATGATCATAATAATATAATAATAATAATGCTATTATTATTAATAATAATACTATTATTAATAATAAAAAATATACACAACCTCACACAAGCGAGCCCTCAGCGCTGGCTGTAGATCGGAGCAACAAAGTCAAACACACTAAGAATCTCTTCAGCTGTGTGTGTGTGTGTGTGTGTGTGTGTGTGTGTGTGTGTGTGTGTGTGTGTGTGTGTGCAGGCCGAGGCAGAGGGCACGCTCTGTGTGAGGGGCTGATGCCTGGGAAGGTTGCCCTTTTTGGACTTCTTCCGGAAAAACGACGACGTCCCGAGGTTGCTGCCACCTTCTAGTCTTCGGCCTCCCGTTGTCGGCGAAGGTTGACATGTAGCATACCTCCTGCCGACCCCGTGCCAATCTACCTGTGTAAGTTGTAACCGTGCCGTGTCGCTGTGTGTTCAAAATTACATTGTAAACCTACACGTTCATGAACTTAGGGTTTTTTTTTTTTGTAAAATGCCTAACCGAAAGGGAAGATTACTTTGTCATACCATCCCTTAACCAGAGAAGAAAGAAGAGAAACCACAAGTTGACACTCTAGAGTAAAACCTTCTTCAGTTTCCAGAGAACTTTTTGTCGGCCGAAACACTAATAAAGAGAGGTATGTCTTGGTGTGTCCTTGTCACCCCGTTTTCTGTCACTACCAAATGTTCTAGCGTCTTTCCTGGAAGCGGAACGGGTAAACATCTTGTAACGGGGGTAACCTATAACCCTCCTAGTCCTGGTCCTCAAACCTCACTTTCAGCCAACGCAGACGAAAGAACATTTTTTCTGTGGCTCCCTGCTATACTTCTCCCTTCTCTTCACCTTTTAAACTTGCCTTAAATTTTTTCTTTCTCCTCGTGAAAGTCTTTCCTCTCCTTGTTTCCTTTTTTTTAGTTCTGTGATTTTTTTACCCCTGAAAAATATTTTCATTTTAACAAAAAAGTTCAGCGTTGAGAAAGGCGTCCATAGACGTGACTACCGTGATCGTGAACCATAAGACACTAAATAGCGGGGAGGATACCTTGGTGAAGGTTTTCGGGGGTAACGTAGACCCACTTTGTGCCACGGGGGGGGGGGGGTGTGGGTGATGGGGGTTGGCACTTGTTCCGTTTCTCCTTCAATAAACTCCTCTTTTTTTGGTCCCCCTTGATCTCTCTCCTGTTTTTTACACAACACAATAAATAACTAACAAATCAAACCCAGGGTCCAACACCATCCTGACTCCAACCACCGGATTCATTATTTTCGGGGTGGTAAAATTTTTCTTTTTGTGTATAGGTGGTTTGGGAGAAGGATGAAGGAGATGAGAAAAGCTTGGTGGGGTACGAGGACACTGGTATAAGGTGACTTTCGTATGTATAGAGAAACTTTGGTTTTTACACGATGTATCTTTCACGTCCACAAGGATAAAGATGGTGGTCACACATAGTCTTTCAATGACACATAATATTAATTTTTAGTTACCACCGATAACAACAATTTGTCAGACATAAAAAAATTTTGTTGGTATACATCGCTGAACATATATACATATATGATACATATACACTGCATATGCATAATATTGTTCAAGGAGTCTCTCTCTAGTAACCCTACTTTACAGGACGTAGTGGCGAATTTTGTTTGCACTACTGAAAATGATAGTTCCCGGTTAACCTCAATTTTTGACTTTAAATTTACATGAAAAATCAAAACAAAAATTATAAAATTCGATGGAGCTGGTGATTTTTTTTTGTTTTAAGTATGACTCCGGAAGAGGGAATTCGAAGCGTAAGTTTGTGGGGACATAATGGTAATTATACTGGTTTATCTTTCGAACCAGTAAACTTTCGGTCAGACGACGGGGGGGGTTGGGAGTGAACTAAACAACACTGGGAACTGGGGCGGGCGAG